GCACAGACTATCACCATAAAAGAAATTTTAAAAAATCTGACTGGACTTCTTACGCCACATTTATAGATGAACAATTACAAAGCTGTTTTATATCCCAGGATCCTCAGAGTTCATATGACCAATTATATAATATAATTCAAAAAGCCGCTGACAAATATATTCCAAATATAAGAATCCCTCAAAACATTTCTAGCTCATTTAAGCCAAAACCATATTGGTCCCCAGATCTGTCCAAGGCGGTTGCGGAGCGGCGTTTGACTTTGGCGAAGCTGAGAGGTTGCCCCTCTCCGCGTAATTTAGATATCCTCAAGGAGAAAATCAGCACTGCTCAGAGGCTTATTCGCAAGGCTCGGTGTAAATCTTTTCAACAGTTTTGTACATCTATTGACGAGACCACTTCTGCATCCGAAATGTGGCGTAAGATGAGGTGGTTGAAAAGTCGGCAAGTGCCTAACACCAGTGTAGACAAAGAGAAAGCCGAACGCCTACTTAAAGATCTCACTCCAGATTTTGTGAGTCCTCCACAGCCTTCTTTTAGTTCCAATAATGCCATGCTAGAGTCTCCAATCTTAATGTCTGAATTAATCAACTGCATCAAGAATTGCGATACAACTCCTGGGGCAGACCAAATTTCCTTTTCTATGATTAAACACCTTCCGCCTTCCGGTAAACAAATGTTGCTTCAAATATACAATCAATGTTTTTCTGTGGGTTTTGTTCCTCTTCAATGGCGTCAAATTAAAGTCGTCCCAATTCCAAAGCATAGTTCAGCCTCATCTTTGCGCCCTATCTCCTTAATATCATGCATCTGTAAAATTTTTCATGCCACTTTGGCCAAGCGTATAGAATGGTTCTTTGAAAAACAGGGTTTATTTTCTGAGGACATGGTAGGTTTTCGTAAGGCACGATCTTCTCTCGACAATCTCTCTAGATTAGTGTCGGAAATACAACTAGGATTTTCAAAGAATTGGGTGACAGCGGCATGTTTCATTGACATTGAAAGTGCCTACAACAATGTTGATGTCTCCTGCCTGGTACGTATTTTGGATCAGTTTGGGGTTGGGTCAAAAGTCTGTACCTACTTGTGGTCATTTTTATCAAACAGGCATCTGCATGTGGTTACGCACGATTGCGAAATTGTCAGATCTACTGGCCGTGGGCTAGCCCAAGGAGACCCGCTGGCTCCACTTTTATTTAATATTCTTACATCGCATATATGTCATAACATTACTCAGGTTAGTATCTCTCAATATGCTGATGATTTTGTGTTGTATTCGACCAAAAATAATTTAGATTTAGCATTTGAAGATCTTCGGTCTGCTTTGCGATACACTATAATGTTAATTGATAAACTAGGTTTAACGATGTCTCCAAATAAAACTAAGATATGTGTTTTTAAAAAAGGATGTTTTAGGAAATCAATTAATTTTGGTTTAGATGATGATATTTCAATTGATGTTGTTAGTAATATAAAATATTTAGGTCTTTGGCTGGATAGTTCGTTAAGATGGGGTAAGCATATTAATGAAACCTCCCAGAAAGTACTAAAATTCATTAATTTACTTAAAGTTTTATCAGGTCCGGGATGGGGAGTTCACCAAAAACATATAAGACGTCTATATATTTCCATAATTCGAAGCAGAATTGATTATGCCAGTTTCTTATATGACAATAGCTGCAACTCTAAATTAATTAAATTAGATCGTATTCAAAATCAGGCATTGCGCGTTATTGGAGGATTTATACGCAGCACCCCAATACATGTTATGGAAAGCGAGTTATGTATTCCACCACTTTTTATACGTCGTAAATACTTAGCCAGTAAATTCATTTTAAAATCAAAATCTCTTCTCAAAAATAAAACTATACAATTACTAGAAAAACTTTCACTAGTCACAGGTTCCAGTTATTGGCGCAATAAAAAGTTACCGTTACTAATTAACATCCTTTCACAATATGACTCTTCTCCTGTACACTCTTGTGCTCAACTTGGAATGTTTTCCCTCGATAAATGGATCAGTAGCATAGACTTGTCTCATATCGTCATTGATAAAATTCCTAGTATCAGTAAAGCTAAACGCCATTACAATGTCATACAGTTAAAACAATTATGTATTTCATATATACACGATCAATATTCAGACTATCATAAAATTTTTACTGACGGTTCCAAAGACAAACTTTTGGGAGGGGCAGCCTTTTGGGACCCAGTTCTGATAAGCCATTTGAAGTTTAAAATTGATTCAGATATTTCCATTATGCACATTGAGCTGATTGCTATATTGGAAGCCTTATCCTATATTCTGTCGGTCAATGGCGATAAATTTGTGATTCTGACAGACTCCAAAAGTTCGCTGCAACATTTGGCTCGGAACACTTCTCACATGCGAGGTATTCCGACAGCCTTTGCCATATATGAATCAATCTTAAAACTTCAATCCAGTGGTAGAACAGTTCGTCTCCAATGGATTCCGTCACACGTACAGTATGAGGAGAATGATGTGGTGGATATGCTCGCCAAGCAAGCGTGCGTTGACGGTGTTGCTATGAATGTTACCCCACTGTTTTCGGACTATTTTGGAAAAGCAAAAAATAAGTGTTTTGATCTTTGGCAGGAGTATTTTGACGAAAGGTCAAAAGAAAAGGGGATTTGGTATCGGACTATCCAGTCAAAGATTCCTCGGGTTCCATGGATTGATTGTGATCTCAATAAAATTTTAGTCACTATTGCTTTAAGGCTTCGCTCCGGACATATTCCATCAAATAAGTTTAACTATTTAATGAAAAAAGTTCCGTCGCCATGTTGTGATTCATGCGGAGTGGTCGAGGATGTCTTCCATATCTTGATGGAATGTGCCCGGAATGAAAATGTTAGGATCCACATTTTGGGATGGCATAGAACGAATGACATCGGTTTCTGTAACGCTGTTCTTGCTCATCCAACATCTGACGGAGCGAAACATTTATACCAATTAGTTATAAGTAGGTAGATCATAAGCTAGTGATAAGTACTTGTTTATCTCGAACTGGGCGATATGGTCGCTAAGCGACAAAGCCCTTATATTAAAAAAAAAAAAAAATAAAAATAATTATGTCAATATATGAACGTGCTATAATTTAAATGTACCGTGGGGTATTTGTAAAATAAAATAAAACCATAACATCGTAATGTCCATCTCGGAAGTCGCGGGTAATCAGGGTGCCTGATTTCATGTTCATTTGTACCCTAACCACGCGCACCGCCTCTACGATAGCATTGCGTTCCTACTGAAGGAAACGAACCGGGGTTGCGTGCCGTGAAATAGAACAATAATAATATGTAATAATTCACGTACAAATCCCGCGGTGAAACTCGAGCTGTGACGGTAAGTCTTCAATTTATTAAATAATATAATAATTATTTATTATGTGATATAAAATTGTGGAGTATAGATAGTTCATCTCAATGTGTGATTTGAGATATTTTAATTTGTAAATTAAGTAGTGACGGCTGTAATAATTAATACAAGAAATCAAATAAAAGGCAGGTCCGCATTTATTTCAGCGCTGTTGATTTGGGAAGTAAGCTCAAACTCCTTGAGCTTGCTCCTGAAAGTACTTATACTTTGCAGGTTTCTGATTGGCGGAGGGATATTGTTCCAGCACTTCGACGCCGCATACCCGAAAGTACCCCTAAAGAAATGCAGCGGATTTGTGTTGCGGTATAGCCAGCTGCTGCGCACAACGCCGGCGATGCGCATTCACCCACGAGAGCTTCGAGTACAGGTATGACGGACATTTAGTTCTTATGACACCAAAGAGGAAACAGGCCAGATGAAGCTTACGACGAGGCTTCATTTTTAACAAATTGTGTTTATTTAGGTAAGGTGAAATGTGGCTCCTTGGTGGTATTTTGAAACAAATACGTGCGTATCTGTTCGTTTAGTGTGGTGTAATTAGGTATTATTTAGAAGCTAAAAATACCTTATCCACCAGGAAATTAATGCGGCATTTACATATCATACAGTTACAGATCAACAAAGCTAACGAAATGCAATCAAATAGGACAAATAAATATCATATTCATTTACAACAAAGAATATTCTCCGAAACCACTCCCATAACGAGTTCTTTGATCTCCGAAGTAACAAGTAACTGTATGTTAGTTAATTATAACAAGTGAAGTGTGAATTGTTGTGGTGTGTCCAAACCGCAGGATAGATCAGAGTGTTTACTGACCACGCCGCCACGCCGCGATGTACGGGGCGGGATCAAAGTGATCAACTAGATGAGACCGCGCCCGCTGCGGTTTACGGAGTAAAGTACTTCACGTTGATTGCTCAAAATATGTTACGAGCTGTGTCGATTTAAATATTACACGTGTATTATGTAAAATATTCTTGTTGTGGTAATATTAACATGTTTCTATTTAGCCCAATGTAGCTACGAGCCCCCACAGCTTCAGATGATGTGGTAATTAGTGAATTGCAGATGGTAGCAGGCTATTTCAATAATTAAAGCACCGATAAATATTGTAGTCTAAGCCTCAGGTAAGTAATCATGTCAACTGTTAGTAGGTTCTTAAAAGTAGAGCCAAATAGCAATTACAATAGACGATTTATTTAGACACGGATCCGGATGCAACTAAATAGAAAAGGACCATTAGATTTTCCAACTCATTATTTAGTATTCATTTGTCGAGTTTTATCAAAAACCATTTAGTAGTACCTATGCTGTAGTGTACTTACAAACAAACCAAGGCTGTATATCAATACATAGTATAAAACAAAGTCGCTTTCGCTGTATGTCCGTATGTATGCTTAGATCTTTAAAACTACGCAACGGATTTTGACGCGGTTTTTTTTAATAGATAGAGTGATTATAAAGGAAGGTTCATAATTATGTATAATACATGCATAATAATATTGCACCCGTGCGAAGCCGGGGCGGGTCGCTAGTGTATTAATAAAATATAGTGGAACACCCTTCCTTATAAAATCTTGTCGTAATTGACCACTGACCTGCACAGGTGGTGCGGTTTCCACAGGTCGGTGGTGATGGTCGTGTTTCGGTGGTCTTCGCTCTAGTGCGTAGCTGTTCTGGGCAGGGGCACTGCGGACGGGTGCACTAGCTACGGTCAGCTGGGACACTGCACCCACTGCCTTCAGCTGGGCCGAGCTGGGACCTTCTGTTGACGGCGGTGGGGCTTCCTCCTGGATCGCTAAGAATTTATTGTGTATTTAGTGCTAAGTAGTAGATTTTACTAAAGCAGTTATCATAGTCATGGATGTCTGCAACTGGCACCATGTAAGGTGTAAAAGTACCTGCTCACTATACATGTGAATGAAAATAATATATTTTCTAAGTAGAGGCAGTCAATAGCACCTTACAAGATAGTCAATAAAATATCGATAATATAATTAAACCACAGACTTAGAGATAAATAAACCGTTAGAGTTTTATGATAATTAAGATTCATGAGTAGCGGTAGATTGTTGTGAACTTATGATTATGTTAATTTTACATCATTTAATTGTCTGTTGGGTACGAATTACGTTGTAATAGCTTTCTAAGGCGTTTTGGGACCAGCCTTTTATACAATATGTTGAGTTCTTCTTGGGACATAACGTGGATTCTCAAGTACTTAAATAATATTTTGAAATAATAATAATCTTTTATTTGCATAAAAATGGTGTAAAGGTGTTTTGCCAAAATTATATTTAACATGCAAATCTTTCACTTATATGTAAGTAGTATTAATTTTTTTTCCATAAATTCTTTAAGACAATAGAAATATCGACGAAAAGACAATAGAATAACGTTTATCGTACTAATGCCACTAATGGCCGTTTCCACTGACCATCTTTTCTTTATGGAATAATAGGCAAACGAGCAGACGATTCACACCCGTCCATGGGCAGCGCTGATCGTTTACCATCAGCATTCGATCGATCGCAACCCCAGATGAGTCACAGGTGCGTTCCCGGCCTTTTAAAAAGGAATACGCTCTTTTCTTGGCCGTAGGCCGAAGGCCGTATCGGTTCAGAAATACCGCCGACGACAGATCATTCCACAGTTTTGCTGTGCGAGGCAGAAAGCTACGTGAGAAACGCACAGTTCTGGCGATATATCGATCCATCTTCAAATAATCTCTAAAATAAAGGCCCGAATACTTACCTATCTACTAGGAACCACTGTCTAACTGTCGTTGCTTAATCGTAACTTAGCTAGGAGTTCTTTTTTATTTGAGAGAGTTTTGTTTGTAACTTTATGTGCAGTAATAGGATTATGTTCTAGCCGACCCTGAGATGAGATGAGATAAGGCTCCGTATTTTCTACATTCGGAATAGTGAACTGCAGACAGACAGACAGTATCAATCAAAGCGGGTTGACATAGATGGCAATTAAGTAAGACTTTCGATTGATGTAGTTCAAAAAATAAGATTTTCGGTACTTTGAGTACCTACCTGATTATTTTCTTAAGTAACCGTCTAACTCTAATATTTGTAATGTATAAACGGTCGACATACGTTTATTGGTGGGTGAGGTGGGTCTGGGTGGCGTAGTGGCGCGGTGCGCGTGCGGCGGCGGCGAGAGACGGCGGGCGTGCGCGGGCGCTGGCGCGGCCGTCGCCCCGCTCACGCGCACGCGCAGGGCTCGCGCTCCCGACACGCCGCCGCACCACGCCCCCTCCTCCGATGGACGACACCCGCTTGATGGCCTGTGCAAACAAATATTTAATTGTTACCAATATAATGGTTAATATAATTATATTCGAAAAATCCTCAGGTTGCTGTAGTAAATAAGTTTCAAGGTGAACCGAAAATTCATATAAATAAAAACCAGTCGGTATAACTTTTTCTATGAGACTTGTTTATTTACTACATACTTACCGCCTTGTTTGGATAGTTCTATGATGTAACATGTTCCGTACATAAATTAGCAATGATACAGGATGTTATAAAGTTGCAACTGACCGGAAAGGATGTGATAAACGACTGGATGTGATTTCACGTCAAATAGAACTTTAATTCTGTTATTATATGACTGCGATAACTGCATAACAGTACAACATACCTACATTATAGACTAAGTACCTAATGAAACCACTTCTCGGCTCTAATAAAATGCTAATTCTGCTCATTTCAGCGACAAAATTCCTGTTGTAAAGTCTCAGAGTCATAACAAAGTTCATTAAACGATCCCATCAGCAGACTATAACTGTCATCAGTAGAAAAACATTAGCTGCACTCAATTTCCCAGTAACCTGTGCCCCCGAGGCTTATAGCTGCGCTAACGGGCTGCGGTGTCAACGGAATGATCCGAGCTTCGAAGCTATGCGTGACTAAGGAGCGGAGTCGCCACGCAGACTCGGTACCACCGCGACCAATCGAAGTAATGCAATGTGCTGTTATAGTGGAACTTGCTTTACATCTATGGCCGTAATACTTTTCTGCACGATATTATGATCTACGTGAACATTATAGCTGTGTGTTAACTATATATATACTAGCAGATCAAACCTGCTTCAATTTGTCTCTATAGATTTATATCTCTCATAATTTTCTTATCAGTTGGAAGACGTCTGTAGCCGAATCTTCTTTCTACGACATTTCACTTTATTATTATGTAATTTATTAACCCATTAACTTTAAGTACTTGCAGTTGTTTCATATTATTATGTTAGTGTGTGTTCCTAATCCTTCTTTAGCAGTTATTCTTATTCTAGTAGTAGACTTCCTGCCGTTTTCTGGCTACGCGTCTGTGACTCGTCTGATGTTGCTGGCGTCCATGCGGCGCTGATCGCTTACCACCAGGTGATCCGCCTGCTCGTTTGCCTCCTATTCTATAAAAAAAAGACTGCCACTGGCTGTTGATGTGATGTTATGTTCGTGTGTTTACCTCATCTGCATTGACACACACATCTAGTCCAGTGTCCTACTCTATAGAGCACAATACCGTTCCCTGCAATACTTAAACTACTTATTTATCATCGCAAAAACTGCTAAACTTGTCCATGTCCATATCTACTTGAACTGGAATGCTGATAGCTAACCATTCTGCATTCTTGGTGACCTTATTGAATAGACCACTCAATAAGTGAACTTGTGCGGGGTATTTAGGAAGACTATACTTGTTATGAGGTAACATACAGACGTGACCATGTGATCCTATATTGATCAGATTTTTTAGAAATAGATTTTAAACTTCATGGTAATGTAATAAAGTCGAAAATTAATTTTGTTTCGGGTAAATCTAGCTTGAAGTTTCTGCACGGTAAGTTCATAGTCTACTATGTCTTGTGGTTTACGAAACATAATGTTGTATTGTAAGACCACATCATAACAAGACCAATTGTGGGCACAATTACGCATGAAATAACTTGTTTTTATGACAAACAATGGATTCTAATTTGAATGTATTTATCTCATTTTTGATGCCTTAAGATAGATAATTTTTTATTATTTTTTTAAGGTGTAAAAATTTTAGTTCATAGTTATTTATATTTTAAGTTGTATATATTTTCTTTATATTGTTATATGATAATAAATTTATCTCATTAAGGTAAGCACTCAACTGCGTTACTTTTGCGTACTGAGATGGGCTGGAAGGCCTGTTTTTATAGTACCTACATCGGTATCAGTTGCACAAAAACATTCTCATTCAATTCTCTATTTACTTTAAACGACAAAAACATAATAAAAGATAACAATAATGTTAATAGATTGACAATAATAGCGAGATACAGACGAGCAGAGAGCCGTGACCGGCAGACGAGCATGTCCAATCATAAGGTGGATGTTACAGGTGGAACTAAACAGTTTTTGTAGCCAGCAGCCCGTACGAAATCATCTTGACTCGTTTTGCAACTGATGTCTGCAAGATCGGCAGTTGCATTTACCAAATAGTTGATGCTAAGAGATAAGATATGAACTGATTTTAGCGATAGTGAAATTATTTTTTCTGATTAACCGCTTGAATGCCTGTATATGAGACACAATAGAAAATACATTGTGTCTCGCGTGGATCCACGTTTAGACATACGACGGGTTAATGATATGATTTTTCAAACGACTATCAAAGATAAAATCTAAAAGTTTTAAGAAAGATATCGCCTATAATAAATCCTTAGTATTCGAGTAGGTACACAGTCATCTTACTGTGCCTAACAGATGATGACTTATTGCCCAACACATGCCACTAATCTAGACTGCATACAATTTGTTCCAAAGACCGTTTGACAAAATTGATTGCAAGTAATTCATGTCAACAAAAAATTACATCACATACACAGTGTGTGCACAATTACTTTCCACAGCGTACTTCTTTCTTTCCATTCAAGCACACATAAAACATTCAACCAAAAATGGGGATTTTATTGTCAATGTTATACTCCATGTGTGGTGTTCAAACTTGTTTATTTATTCAGAACTGTCTCTTTATTACTCCAGACTTGTCTAGACTATATTATTATAGATACAGGTTTCGTAACTTGACCTAACACGGCTACAACAAAGACCATTAAATTATAAAAAATAAAATAAAAAAGCAAAAAGCCACATAATAATTTGTCAAGTAGAACAATATTTTTGTGCAAATTACAGTCACGTTGGAGGAAGTCTAACCGTTACTTTAACCTGAACCTCTAGAGTCATCAAGTCATAGTTAGACAATGGTCCTGTCTCGAATGTCCCATACTAAATAAGGCCGCACTTAAAATAATAATAATTAAACTGGCGATCAATGTGTAATAGATAATAGAATAGAATAATAATCGATCGAATATCCTTCAAAAGGTGAAATAGCAATAAATTCAGACTAACTAAACAAAGATGCAATAAACAGTTATCTTACCTATACATATGTATAGAAAAGCAGTGATGACTATGAGCATTAATTAAATATATTAAATAATAATTGAGTGAGTTGACGGCAGGGTAGAACACATATCTAAGTATTTTTCCCGTTAGTGTCTTTAGAACCGAAAGGATTACACATTAACAGACAAGGCAGTATGTAGTGCTGACAAACCTGAACCTGTTGAATGGTAATCTAGGTACATATCCTCCTATCTAAAGAACCCTCGCTGGAGGTCTGAGGTCCAGCAGTGACTACCAGGGGCTGATGAAAATGTGGAACATTTCGAATTGCTTGATCCGAGTAAAAGAATAAAAGTAGTTATATATCTACAGATCACGATTTGCGCGCCAAATCCTATATGTTGACGTCGCCGTTGCGCAGTTCCATTAGACTTCACAAACTTTTATGTTTGTGTTAATGGCAAGATTAACAAGTAATAGGATTTATATCCCATAAAATAAATCATAGTGCTTAATGATATTCATAAAATGTTATTTATGAGTCAGATAAGAATGACGGCGGGCATTACACACGGTTTTAGTGTTTCTAACGGGCGCATGGAAAGCCCAGGAAATTGATTTCCTCTATTTGCGGCGAAATCAAGTTTGTTATGCAAAACTGTCGCTAGTTAGTTTCATAAATTAATCGGCAGTCAGTAGTTACATGTTTTCTATTTGTTGTGTTCGGTGAACAAGTTGAGATGAGGCAGTTCATTTCCATCAAAATGTTTTACAAGTTGAGAATGCGTAACGAACGAATAAGTACCTCTAACTACATGTATACGTACTTGAGATACGTTACATTAATCTGCACGTTTCCCAAACTGAGGCTCTTACGTCACAACGAACTAGCGCGTAATAATTGTCGCCCAACCATGAACACAATGCGATGCGCCCATCATAAACGCTCCACTCAGAAATATATGCTGTAAGCGAATACCGACCTTGTTACCCTGGAAATTGTTCTTGACGAACGGAAAAACAGCATCCCGGTACATTGTGACATGTTGTCCTTGGTCATCCTTCACGGACATTAACTGTTTTGATCATTTTGAATGTCATCATCATGGTTCATGTGTAAATGTTGGCATTTCCTGTTATTGGTATACACAACACCAACTACAACCGACCATCTACTAAACTACTTGAATGTAAGCAGATTCTGGTCAAACAAAAGTAGGACGTGAAGTCCATCAAGTTGCAACAATGGTCTTAAATGTGCAAATCGATTGAGGCAAGCAGGCGACAATACTCGTGACCGATAGATTAAGGCGCTAACACAGTTGACAATTAGGCTTTGGCACCCAATCGGGCGTGCCGTAACACCCGGCCACCACGACCTGATGACTTAAGTGACCAGCTTTAGACACCGGATGGGCTGAAACGTTTTTGGTAACCTTGAACCCATTAAGCATTGAACTAAAGACTGATGCTTGTAGAGAAGACATGTTCTTAAAAGTAATTTAGTGAGAGTTAAATCGCAGTTAATGTTTTCATGACGATGTTCAATGAAATAATAATAGAGATGTCCTGAACTTCATTTTCTCAATACCGAGTACATACAAAGTGTGTTACTACTAAAATATTTAAGTGATATTAGGTACTCAACAGGTAGCTAATGAGGCTGTTCTGGTAACAAAGTGACAAACTTAGACGTTACAATTATAACTATTGTGACAATCAGGTTCGTACGCATTGCGAAATCTCTCCTTAAGGTAACTACGACAATTAAGTCTAGACACAAGACAGTTCACGTCGCCTATTGAGTTGTTTCACCCGGTCTAGGTTGATAACAATCAGTTTATAAACAGCTCCGCAATTTCAAATATTTAGTTTACAGCGGTCCATAGTTGATCATATCGTTTACCAATAATGCACCGTTAAATTCGTTTCTCCGATATTATTAGGTAGCCGGTCGTTGGTACCGCCTGCTTTGATTATCGAAGTATTGAAGGCATAATGTGTCTTCATAACTTTCTCCGATCCAATTTGTACCAGCAAGAATTCGCCGAAAAAGTATAACAAAATCAACTTATCCAACGTAATGATAATTAACTCCGAGATAAAAGATCGTAGCGGATTATTACGAAACCAGCATTCATTTTTAAGAGCATCACGGTTCTTAATTGAATTGTAAACACAGTTCTAATAATGTTGATTGTGTTAAATTCTCAGGGAAGTACAGGTGCTAGAAAAAGTCTGACAATCCTATAAACAAGAAGATGAGAGACAGAACAAAAGATCATCAGAACTGTTAAGCGGAACCTTCGATGTTGATTGACAACAGAGGAAGGATGGTGCCATTCAAAATTCAAATGTCACGTGTGAAGATAAAGTCGAGAATGAGAATGCGTGTGTTCCGGTGGGGTTGCACGGATCGGTATCGCTACAAAGAAGCAGAAGCTCGCACGAGTTCGTCGACCAACACCACACGATTGTTATCGGCGGAATCGCTACGCAATTAACGCAAATGTCTTCCCGAACACTTGCGCGGTGTAAAAAATGTGGCGCATGTCCGTTATGTAAGGAAGTTCAAGAATTACAGAAAATGTATAAGAAAGCTTCTGTACTGCACAGATACAGTGCGTGCAACTCGTTACACTCTCTCTGAGAGTAACCATAACTCACAAGTGACAGACGGCCTTAAGTTAATTGAAACCAGTTGGGATTACTACGATTAGCTATTTCCTAACAAGACAAACAGGTCCATAGATTTATTTGACTACTGGAAATGAAAATGGAGATGAATAAATGAACTCGTTGACTTAACAAATGTACTTGTTTCCTTCTATTTGTGTCCCAAGTAAATGACATAGTTTGATGCGATAATAAAACCTGTAATGATATATTTACACTACTCTGGCTGGCCTGCTTCCTACACTTAACAATACTTGCCGCTCTCAGGCCACACCTAACTAACACAATGTAACTGTTCAAATTATGAACGTTGCGATTATAAAACAACGCAGATGGGATCCAGGTCATCATGTCTGGAGCAAGTATAACAGCATTGTTTGTTCTTACCGCTTCCTCCAATCCTGGATGAAACTCCAGTCACAGTGCTCATCTTCATCCAGCACCGTCGCCTCGTGGTGATCCACTCCCCCTCCGTGCACCAACTCAACCAACTGTCGAGCTCTTTCAAAATTACCTTCAAACTCTACCACTAGAAATCCGTCAGAACTCATCGTCCCGAAAACGTCCTTCTTATAAGTTGCATCATTAATCGTTACTACGTCTTGTATATCTCCACAGTTTTCAGCCTTGATCTCAGAGTATATAGCTTCTGGAACCTGGACCTCTGACACCATCCTAGTGTCACCTCCACCCTTGTCCACATCTTTACTTAGTCCCAAGTTTCCTGTTTCTTCTAACAACCGATTAGCATAAATAACTTCTTCTTTAGCAGGATCCTCTTTAAGTCTATACTCCTCTTTTTTCTGTTCATTGTGTTTACGAATTATAGAATCTCCGAAGTAAATGACCACTTTATTGTTGTTTTGAGTGATCTTGTTAGCTAACCCACCTTCCGGTGGTGGTAAGATAGACTTTTTGCTCTTATCTTGGGAAAGTCTCTGCGCCAGTTCCTCGTAACACGGAAGCCGGTTACTGTATATCTTTTTGTCTGCCGAGCATTTACTGAGCTCCTCTTTCCTCTTTTCCACGCTCTGGTATACCGGGGGTCGACAACACTCGTCAAACTGGGACTGTGGACTCCTGATGGTTGGCCGAGGTTCACTATAAATATGTTCCGTGGGCACCGACACCTGCGGCAAAGGAATATATTTTTCATGAACATTTTTGGAATTTGGGGCTTCAGTCTTCCTGAAGTTCAGGACACTACGACGTACTTTTGATTCAGAAGCATCACTGTTACTTATTTTCTTGTTTCGGGAATTCCCAAGGAGTTTAAAAAGCGCCTTGTGTTCCGACTGTGGTTTCACTCGGTCTGTGCTCGGAGCGCGCCGCATACCGAACGGTCCCGATTCGTCTTCCGAGGGATGCGGGTACAGCTGTTCGCAGCTGGTAGACTTATGCGTGGCGACCCTCGTCTTATTGGACGTGATGGGGTCCCTGCTCTGCCAGTGTCTGACGGAGAGGCGGGCGGCTCCGCGGATAAACTTCATGGGCTCCCACGCCTCCGCCTTCTTGAGAATGAAGTTGTCGCACATGTTTTTGTTTGGTTTCCTGGCGTCAGCGGCGCGGCAGGACTGCAGCTCGCGGCAGAGGAAGCACGAGCAACGCGCGGGGCACAGCATGTCTGCGCGGACGTGCCGGCCGCACTGAGAGCGCGCTGCGCAGGCGCCGCTCGCCGTTAGCCCTCCAAGCAGCATTGTTGCCGCCGCCGTCGCCCCGCTACAAAGTGTCGGTAATTGCCGACACACGTGTTATCCATGGATTATTGTTACCGTTTCGATGAAAGCTCCATGCGCTCGATCTTGAGAATTTTTAATTGCTCTCTCGTTTATTACTTGTATACTTGTAAAAGATCAGTTAATAAAATTGCTCGTTCGATATTTATAGACGGTTTTAAATGGTTCTGCACATGGTCGGCGGTGAAGTGGTTTGTGAGTATTGTGGCAGTGTTTGGTGCCTGCACAGTGCACAGAGCACTTGCACATGAAACTCGTCTATATTGAATGCGAGGTGAACGAAACCATAAGTTGTGTAAGCTAAATATAGAGCACACTTCAAACAGAGGGGTTATTACTGAATCACTCGCAGGCTTAATGATACACCGAGCCTGCATGAATCGCGGACTGTGCGGTTTGTTTCCTGAGACATACATTACGTCAGAATATTAAATAAATCAGGAAATAAAGAACTCTCTCTAAATTTGTAGGCAGTCATCCGTTAGTACACAAACACTAAAACACTTCATTGACCAAAAATAACGTTACATAAAGAGAAATGTACAAATATTTAGACGATAACAGTTTTTGAATCAAATGCTAATTAGGAAAGTGAAAACCAAAACAAATGAATTTACAGCCAGAACTAACACTGAAAATATCAGCTTTATTGCCTTAAATGCTGGTTGAGGGAAATATCTAGTGCTAAGTAATAAGTATGTGCGATTTGCATTGCGTAAAATAAAAGAAAGAAATATAAGAAATCGATACAATATTTGGTTTGGAAGTTCATTTATCGAGTACGGTTAGAATAGCGAACCTTGACAATGTTATTGTGGGTCCTATTATTATATTTATCGCAAAATATTACGCATGTCAGTTCCGGTAATACACGATTATAGCAATTAGATATATGAGTTTATTCAGCATTTATTTTATGAATGGACACTGGACAGTGATTCTAGTTTGAGAGGTGACTGGTTACAGTTTTTCAGGCTGTAATTTTAACCGAGTATGTTCATAAGTGCCTAAATAGTTTCCTTATGCCATCGAGCATTTCTTTATTGAAAGAAAGAGTTTCCTTTTCTTGTATAGAAGCACTAATTCTATGGATTGTCAGTATGCATATGTAAGCACCATGTTGGCCTTTTAGATTTTTTTTTTAATTTTAGTAAGTTATTAGTATAATGCGTCAAGCGTGTCTTTGCATTGTTCTTACACATGCGTACAGTATTGAAATATGTATCAGAGACACATAGAACATACTTTTTTAAAAAGAGTAACGAATGGAGTTTTTTGCTCGTTCTTCTCCATTCGAATCTACTTTTTGGAATGAGCACCTAGCTTCACCTAGTTTCACTGACGGACTGACTGACAGACTATTATTTATTTTGTATTTGTTGACGTTTCAAAAGTACCAAACTATGGTTTAATTGAAATAAATGCTTTGACTTTTAATCATTTTATAGTGGACGATAAGTAGGTAATCGATTTCAGTTAGGCTATTCTGTAAATGTCACTTCGAAGTTCCGAAGTCACCGCCTATGGGTAGGACTTAAGTTTACTTAGACAAACTATAGCTTAAGACCTGATGGTATGCGATGACATAGCTATGACTACGTAAGTGCATAGTTAGGTCGTTATGACAATAAGCATTTCAGCCTAATATTGCTTTAGTACACAAGTAGTTTATGAGTAAAATATATTGTTAAATGTTGTTTTTTGTCTTATCTCAAGTTTTATCTGTGGTTGCCTCTATTATGACGGCTACGTAGATTATATAACTGCTTATTTATCTGTGTATATGAAATATAATTAACTTGTTCTTAATATTGTAATGCGAAGTCGTGATCGAAGGCAGGTCATGGACAGTACCGTCTCATCTCATCTGAAACGGAACAATGCAAGTTTCTAAAAACTCTTTAGTATGTATGTCACAATACAATATTGCATGTCCAATACAGTCCAGTAATATTCTAATAATATTGCTAAAATTCTTTCCTGAAATTCGTAAATATCTTTCCAGCAAGGTTACTCGGCAACTTTTAATTCGAAAGATATTGAACTCGGTCGCACTCCGCCATATCATTGGTTGTGAGAATAATCTCGACCAATGACGGGCGAGAATGCGATCGAGGCGGTAGATGAAAAATCTAAGTCACTTTCAGTTTAGTACTCGGTCCTCATTGCAACTATGGTCTGTGGTAATTGTTTTTTACCAAATGGTTAAGTATACATACGAACCACCTTCCTACTTGGTTACTTACTTGTCCAAAAAACCCAGAAACGATTAACATAGTTTCACATTCACATATTTTAAGTATGGGAGAGTCATGCTTCAGCACGAATGGGTCGGCTCGACCGGAGTGATACCACGGCCTCACAGAAAACCGACGTGAAGCAACGTTGCGTTGTGGTTCGTCGTGTGAGTGAGGTTACCGGAGGCCCAATTACCCTCCCCTTCCCCAATCTCCCCAATTCCTGAATCCCCAACGATCAATCCTCAAACTCCTAATCCCCAAAAGGCCGGTGACGCACTTGTAACGCCTCTGGTGTTCCAGGTGTACATGGGCGACGCCGATTGCTTACCACCAAGTGATCCGTTTGCTCGTTTACCGGCTTATGCCATAAAAAAATACATAATACAATTTCGATTTCATAAAAATCGGTGCCATTTCAAAACTTAAGTAACAATGTTCAAGATTACGAAATTAAACAATACCTTGGAGTAACAAGAAAATTATGAGTGAAAATAATAAAATGAGTGAGTATGAGTTACAGTTACTTTCATTGCATAAAGTCGAGTATTGTTCAGTTTGTAATTACAATGGAACTTGCGCAGTTCCCATCCCAGTCGGAGAAAGTCCTGACTTTATATAAACTTTATTTAGCTATTGTTTTACTTTATTGTCGCGTGAAAACTGTTTGTTATAGACCAGTAGGTACCTGTGTACCTGTGAGTGTGTACAATATACAAGATTTATGATTCCAGTGGCGTCTTCGAGAAGAATCGATGTGAAATAATATTATTCTGTCCATGTCGTTGGATTTGTGGTCGTAAGCGCGACTGCCGTGTCGCGGAGAACCTAACGGGTAACCGGGGCTCCGGCTCGACGTGCAGGAGAAGGAACGGGGTGGTTTTTAGTTAGTAAGAGTCTGACACTCCCTCCCGCCTCACCCAGTCGGGAGCAGTCATTCGATGATTTTCCCCCTTAAAAAAAAGCGAGACTGCCGTCCAAGTAGTTTACGATGGTCTATCTGCCCGATGATATGGTTTCGGCGCGATGGCATAACATAATATTGGGGGTATTTCGATATAATTCTGCTAGGTGTAGAGCAATAGGCTTACTCGTCCACTAATGGGGCCTTTAACATTACAAGTCAAAAGTGGGTGTTGATTCAAAATATGGAGCTTTAAGGATATATGTGTTAAACTAAAGATATTTTTGAGAAATCAGAATCGACTTTTCGACAAATTCCATGAATCAGGTATCAAATTTAAGACCAATTCTCTAAAGAAGCAATAAAAAAATAAAGAAAATAAAATACGTATCTTTTAAATTTTGGTAATTCTATAATTAATTAAGTATCTAAAATTAGTATTATTATAGCCGCGAGCCCATATACCTGACACTTTAAGGAAACAGGTTTGACACTTGCGTCCAAATGAAACTAAATTTTATGATTTTATTTATTTATTAAAATAAAACGTTGAATTAACACTAGAATTTTCACCTGTGTCGCGGGTGCGTTTACAAACATACAAGTTCACATACACATGACACCCAGACCCGAAACAACAAACTGTGGATCACTCAAAGAGTTGTTCCGTGCAGGAATCGAACCCGCGACACGTTGCGCGGTAGCCAGTTGCCCAGCTACCGCACCAACCGTGCAATCAAGTTTTGAGTGCTACTAAGAAAATAAATACTTAAAAAAAATGCACAGCTGTAAGAGACGCGCTGGACAGAAACCGCTGGAAGGAGATCATCCGCTCCAGATGCAACCCTAATGCTGACCACGATCCCCAGACATGAGGAAACGACTGAAGAGAAAGGTAGTCACAATTCACAAACTTCGTAACATAGGTAGTTCCGAGTAGTAACGTGTCCGGATTATAGTTAGTAATCATAATCATAAAAAGTCTCATTGAATTTTGTTCCATAAATCATCATCTGATCTTTACTACTGTAACATATTTAGTATCCTGTAACTGATAACGTACTGCTAGACTATGAGCCTCTTACGTAGGGATTTGTCATAATCTCTACACCATGAAAACTATTTCGTTTTTGTCCTGAAGTAAAATGGTTCTTTTTACTTTTACAGATAAATAAAATGTTTAAAACAAAAAATAACTGGTGAACCATTGTAATAAGCAAACTTCGAATGCGCATAGGAACCCATAGTACCTACATTATCATAACATCACGGTGTACTTCTGTATTAGTTTTATATTTTTTTTCTCTGTTTATACCTCTATTTTTAAACCTTTTTATTGTTGTTTGTTATAATGTATTTTTTCCTGACGTGCATGTCTCATGCCGATTAAACGTATTTCATTTCATAACATCACGCCTTCTTATCTCCGAAAAGGGTAGGCAGAGGTGCACATTATGGCACTTAATGCCACTGTACAATGTAACACCCACTTTTCACTACTTATGTTATGTGTCTCATGTAATAGGGGGTGAGCCTATTGCCATATACCGGGCACAATTCCAGACTCCGTGCTACTACTGACATTTTTTTTAAAAACCTGGTAATACTTTGCCTGACCTGGGAATCGAACGCAAGACCCCTTGTACTTGCGACCACTCGGCCAAAACGTCGGGACTACCTATTTCTAATAGGTATCAGGAGCAATAGAACTCAGCTGCATGCAATAAAATTCTCATTTATTTTTG